GATCTGGACTGTTTTTACTGAATGTCTCTGGACTCTCATCAGAGCTCAGAGTAAAACCAGGGAGGACTTTGGGAGTCGAACCCAGAACCTTGTGCTGGGTACTTTCCACCCCCTGGGTTCCTGAAAGCAGATCCAGAACCTCCTGGATGGAGCGAAACACCTCCTGGAGTCTAGAACCCAAACCCATATTCTTGCTAATGCTAACCCTGCTGGAGCCAGCTGCCCTGTCCTGGTGGACCGGACCGGTGTCCTCCTGAGAACCTGGATCCAGATCAGGTCTGTCCCCCCTGCTGGTGCTCTGGTTATCTGGACCCTGGTTGAGCTCAGTGACCTCCGAGGACGAGTTGTTAAAGTCATCAGGACTCATCGGTTGATCCCTCATCATGTGACCGTCATACTCTTCCTTCATTGGCATCAGTGATGTCATCGCTCTCGCTGCTGTCGCTGTTGTTGTCTGATCTGGGAACAAACAAACAAACAAACAAACAAACAAACACATAAATACATGAATAAATGAAGAGAAGACGAGGAGACAGGTCGTCTTTACCTTCCTCGTCCGTCGGTCCCGCTCCCGTCCTCCTCTTCTTCAGTGACGATGAAGATGGCGAAGCTCAGCGTGATGTTTGTGTCCTCGACCTCTATGACCACACTGGGCGGGGCTTCTGCTGCAGTGGGCGGGGTTTGTCTGGAGGCCACTCCCACCACAGGAAACACAGCAGGAGGCTGAACAACAACAACGAGTTTTTATTCTGAAGTCACATTACAGACGTCTGTTTGTTTGTTTGTTTGTTTGTTTGTGGTGGCTTTTTTTTATTATTTAAATAAAATGTTTTCTACCTGTTAAAATGTCTTAATCTGTTTTTACTTGTTGTGTGTGTGTGTCTATTTTTACAGTTTGTGGTTCAGGCTTCAGATAAACAGTCTTTTACATTCAACACACTGATTTAGAACAGGCGGAAAACAACACCACACACACACACACCACACACGTAACACACACACATCACAGTAACACACAGCACACAATAACACACACACACTCAGTGATGTTTGTGTAACAGCAACCACAGAGTTTCAAGTCAGCTCAGATTTACTGCTTCTGTTTCTCCACAATGACTCAAACAAAACACTAAATAAATATCACAGTTTGGTCCTATCTGTAATGGCTGGTATCTGTGCATCCTCAAGCTCCTCTACCAGAGGCCTGGTTAGCATTGAGTTCTGTGCAGTATCTTAGCTGTTCCTAGGGGAACATACTGCGCAAACCTTCAGCTTTGCGAGCTTGAGTATGACACAGATACCACCCCCAAGAGGGTAAGAGGGAAAGGGTTTTTTTTATAGAGTATGTAGTATATATGTATGTATGTATATATGTATGTATGTATGTGTGTATGTATTGTATATATGTATGTATGTATGTCATGTGTTGTAGTGTCTATGTATGTATAATGTATGTAGTGTGTTATGTATGTATATATGTATAATATGGCTATGTATGTATGGGTGTGAGTATGCTATTGTATATTTGTATGTATGGTAGTATATATGTATGTATGATAGTATATTTGTATGTATATATTATGTATGTATGTATATTTGTAGTATGGTATTGTATATATGTATGTAGTATGTATGTGTGTATGTATGTATTATATATGTATATATATGTATTTGTGTGTATGTATTGTATGTAATGTATTTATATATGTATGTATTGTATGTATGTATATATTGTATGTATGTATGTGGTGTAGTTATATTAGTTAGTATATATGGTGATATATGTATGTATGTATATATGTATGTATGTATGTAATATGTATTATATATTGTATGGTAGTAGTGTGTATGTGTGTATGTATGTGTGTATGTATGTACTGTATGTTATATGTATGTATGTATGTATTATATGTATGTATATAGTATGTGATTGTATATTAATGTGTATGTATGTTATGTATGTGGTATGTATATATTGTAGTATGTATTGTATGTATTATAATGTATATATATGTGTAATGTATGGTGTATGTATAGAGACGGAGCCAATCAAAGTCTCTGTGAGTTTAATATCAGCTGTAATGAGGTAAACAGACTGGCAGCTGTATGAAGCCTCCATGCAGATGGAGCCGTTCAGAGAACTGAAATTAAGACTGTGAACACAAACTATAGTTACAGTTACTCTAATCTTATTAAAGTATCTAAGTCTATAGTTACAGTTACTCTAATTCTAGTTACAGTTACTCTCCATCTCTTAATTCAGCTGAGCTCAACACTGATCTTCATCAGCCTCTTCCTCCACATCTTACAGCTCACACACACACTGTACACACACACACAACACACACACACACACACACAACACACACAGAGAGAAACTTTAACAGTATTCCAGACCCTTACTTGATAAAAGTAATCCTGTTAGTGAAGTAATCTGTTAGAAAGCTATAGAAACAGTTTCCTTACTGGAGCTGCAGATCCTTGAAACTAAGCAACAGGCGGAGCACCAACACAGACTGCAGCATCTCGTCCCAGGTGATGCCAGGTGAGTCAGGTCAGTCCAGTTAGTCCAGGTGAGTCAGTAGTCCAGGTCAGTCCAGGTGAGTCCAGGTGAGTCCACCTTTCTTCTGCTAGAAAACAAATATATATCATATTAAATACGGGTGATATTTTATAAAATAGTTATTATTTAATATCAATGAGATGCAAATGGCTTAAAAATAACATAAATCCCAATTCTACCTATAAAAAGTTAATAATAATAATAATTATTATTATTATATATTATTATTATATAATTCTCTCTATTCTGTTTTCTTGTACAGTATTTTCTCTTTTCTCGTGATCATTTTTAGTTTTCAATGTTTTTTTTCGGATCTGTGAAAACAGGGTTAAAAACATTTTCTAGGTTTAAAAATATTTGTATTTAAAAACCTGTTTCCACAAAAGTGATGATGAGAAAAAATGAATCCCCACTTGTCCCTCAGGGCTTCCGTACTGTTTAGAGTATTAATTAAAAACATTGAAAGAGGAATAATGGAACAAGAAAATAAGTTTCTAACATATAATATATACATAATATATATATATATATATACATATATATATATATATATATTAAAACATAATCAATAGTTTAAAGGAGACCTGCAGGCGAAGATGTAAACAATAACATCTATGACTTTAGCTTAGCTTAGCAACAATGACTGTCTGTCTATGGGACCGTTTAGATGCTTGCTCAGGCTCCTACATCATTTCATCCCAAACGGAAAGAGGAAGTCGTTAATGAAAAGTGTCTTGATTGTTCTCACCTGGTGGCGGAGCCACTGAAGAAAGTCTGAAACACTAAAATAATTAAATCCTCAAAGAAAATGAACGCCTCGACTTATCGGAAACAACTGGAAACTTCTCTCTCTTCTCCTTTATGTCTCTCTCCCTCTCTCTCTTCACCTTACAGATCCCCCCCAAAAACAGGCACGGCCCCACCTGCCGCCATCACTCGCCTTCTGGGAAAAAAATGAGTATTTTAGAATCTAACCGCCCGACGACAAGAAAAATGTTAATGTTTGGTTTGGGAGAAAATGGACAGGCTTCATTATGTACGATGTTTGTGTGTGTGTGAGTGAGTGTGTGTGGGTGAGTGTGTGAGAGAGTGTGTGTGTGTGTGTGGTGTGAGAGTGTGTGTGTGGTGATGTGTTGAGAGAGTGTGTGTGTGTGTGTGTGAGAGTGTGGTGTGTGGTGAGTTGTGTATGAGTGAGTGTGGTGAGTGTGTGAGAGTGTTTGTGTGTGTGTGTGTGTGAGAGTGTGTGTGTGTGAGTGTGTGGTTGTGTGTGTGTGAGTGAGTGTGTGTGGGTGAGTGTGTGAGTGTGTGTTGTTGTGTGTGGTGAGTGAGTGGGTGGAGAGTGTGTGTGTGGTGATGTGGTCACTTGGATATGCGTATATATGATCTCCCACACACACACACGCAGAGGATATATAAGGACAACAATTGGCAGACACACTCTCCTATCGTGGTCACGTTTTAACTACAGGAACTGTATAAAACCAACAAACTGAAGTTTTAAACTTTACAAAACGTTCATTAAACTGCTCAACTAGCAGAAAAGCGTGCGTTAGCTTAGCTAACATCAAATCAGTCAGGAAGTACATAAAGTTATTCATTATAGAACACAGAAATCAGTCAGGAATACATAAGTTATTATAAGAAACACAGGAATCAGTCAGAATACATAAGTTATCTATAGAAACACAGGAATCAGTCAGAAGTACCATAAGTGTATTATAGAAACAGGAATCAGGTCAGAATACATAAAGTTATTATAAGAAAACACAGGAATCAGTCCAGAATACATAAGTTATATAGAAAACAGGAATCAGTCAGAATACATTAGTTATTATTATAGAAACAGGAATCAGTCAGAATACATAGTTATTATAGAAACCAACAGGAATCAGTCAGAATACATAAGTTATTATAGAAACAGGAATCAGTCGGATTCATTCATGATAAAACAGAAATTATAAATCAGTTAAAAATGCTCCGTTTAAATGTTCAAATCTGACGACGGAGGTGAAAACTTGATGAATCTGTCAGTAAAGTGTGTGACAGGGTTAAATATCTGTGAACACATGGACCATAAAGGTTTGATGGATGGAGTTTGTCCTCCAGCAGCAGGAAGACGTCAAACATTAATGAAACACTTCAGTTTGGGACTGAACACTCGACTGGAGTCTGCAGCACACACAGGTGAGTTCAGCACACCTGAAGGCTGATGGAGGAGTGTATGCATGAATGTGACTGTAGAAATGTTATCCTGTAGACAATATTCAATGATAATAATAATGGATCATATTTATACTTTCCATTAATATGATAAATATCAAGAGCTGTAAACAGGAGCGTGATCAACAGTTCCACAGCTGATTATTGACTGATAGTCCTCATGAATCCTCACTCCAGGAAAATAAAATGTATTTATGTTTGAACATGTTTGAATGTTTTATTTCAGGTTGAAACTGATTCAACCGTTGGAATATTTGAGCTTCAGGAAGTTTGAGACAGATTTTACAAGCAGTTTAAAGTTCAGACTGTAAGTAAAGATTTTATTTTCCATCAGGTCACAATGTTGTGTTATAGTTTTATTGCCACATGGGCTTCATAACGGTAATAAAGGGATAATAAGGTGATGATCAGAGAGCAAAGAGCAGCTGATGTTTGTGAACACAGTAATCTCAGTATCAGCAGACTCCATTCAGACATGAGTTAGAGAGTGAGGAGAACCTCTGTCTACCACACATTGTTCATTATATTATACATTATAAATTATTTGTTACTGACTGTCAGCAGCCTGCTGGACGCTCACTGTTACTGTCTCTGACATTAATGTCTGTCTGCATCATCTGACAGCTCAAACTTCACATTTACACTCAGTCACAGGAAGGAAGAGCTCACTTATAAAATCCCACAATGCACCACGATGTCTCTCCTGCAGGCTGCTGATACAGACGAGTAGAGACAAGTGATTAGATGGACACCTGACCTGACTGCAGGTTACTGTCCTCTAGTTTATTTAGAGCAGGATGTGAGGTCCCTGCAGACTCATGTGATAGCAGCTGTAAACTCTGGGACTGTTAGAAACATTCGGATCGAATGGTTGCTCATTTATGCTGTTTGACACAGAAAGGTGAAGAGTTGCAACATGTTTAATATAATAAACAGACAGTAAACAGATAAACAGATAATAAACAGATAAACAGGTTTACTGGACTGAAAATGGTTTAACCTTTCATCCATGAAAGCAGAACTAAAAGCAACGTGGGATTAGGAGAGGTAAAAAGCCCAGACGGGAATTTTGAGTTTATTTGATTATCTCTGTTTTTGATGATCTTTGTGATTTCTGTGTTATTTTGTGAAAACTTTAAAAGTATATCTTTGATTTAGACTGAAGAGTTTGTGTTCTTTTTACAACAAAACAACAAAAACCTGACTGACTATTTTAAATGCCAGAAGAGAGACCTGCTAACTAAATGAAATAATACAAATGAGTCTGTTAAAGGACAGTTGTTATAGTAACCGGCTCATCTGTCCTGTTGGTGGTGCCACTGCACACAGTAAGAAGTTCCCAGTTGGCGGTTCCTCTGAGGAACCAGAAACCTTTATATTTCTTTCCGTATGCTGAAGGTGAATCTGTGTTCTCTGTCGTTGTCAGTGTGTCACCATGTCGGCCGCCGGCTGCCTGCTGACCGAAGACCAGCTTCTGTGCTCCATCTGTCTGGACGTCTTCACTCTTCCAGTCACGTTACCATGTGGACACAACTTCTGCGAAAGCTGCATCACACAGCACTGGGATGTTAACGTCTTCTGTATCTGCCCCATGTGTAAAGAGCGCTTTGATATCAAACCTAAGTTGCGCATCAATAATTTCATCTCTGACATGGCGAATCGGTTCAGACAGTCGGCTGTAAACACAGCCAGCAGCAACCCGGAGCAACAAGTTGCCAAACCAGGAGAGGTCTACTGTGATGAATGTGTTGGAGCTAGAGTTAAGGCTGTGAAGTCCTGCCTGGTGTGTCTGACCTCCTACTGTGAGACTCACCTGGAGCCTCATCTGACAATGTCAGGCCTGAAAAGACATCAGCTGATCGACCCTGTGGAGAACCTGGAAGACAGGATGTGTACGAAGCACGATAAACTGCTGGAGCTGTTCTGCAGGACGGACCGTACGAACGTCTGCATGCTCTGCAGCCTTTTAGACCACAAGACACACATGTTAGTTCCTCTGAAAGAGGAGCATGAGAGAAGGAAGGCCATGCTGGGGAAGACCGAAGGAAAGATGTATCGGATGATCCAGGAGAGGCGACTGAAGATTGAGGAGATTACACTCTCAGGGAAGATAAATAAAGAATCTGCAGACAGACAGATGGCGGTCGGTGTTCAGGTCTTCACTGATCTGATGCAGTTTCTTGAAGGAGGTCTGGCCGAACTCATCGAGGTGATTGAGAAGAAGCTGAAAACAACAAGCCGACAGGCCGAAGGCTTCATCATGGAGCTCGAGCAGGAAATCTGTGAGCTGGTGAAGAGAAGCACTGAAGTGGATCAGCTCTCGCGCTCAGACGACCACTTTCATCTTCTCCAAAGTTTCTCAGCCGTGAACACTGCTCCACCCACAAAGGACTGGACGGAGGTCGGCATCCAGCAGCCGCTATACGAGGAGATGGTGAGGAGGGTTGTGGTGGAAGCTGTGGACCAGCTGGAGGAGACGCTCAGTAAACAGATGAAGAAGCTGATTGAGGTCGAGCTGAAGAGGGTCCAGCAGTGCGAAGTGGAAGTGGCTCTGGATCCTGAAACAGCGAGTCCCTGGCTCGTCCTGTCCGACCACGACAAACAAGTCAGTCTTGGAGACATGAAGAAGACTCTCCCAAAGACGCCGGAGAGGTTTTATCCAGGCGGTGGGATCTTAGCAAAGCAGAGTTTCTCTTGTGGAAGGTTTTATTACGAGGTGCAGGTAAAGGAGAAGATGAAGTGGGATTTAGGAGTGGTCAGAGAGTCCATCAGCAGGAAGGGGAAAGTCACAAAGAACCAGGAGAGTGGGCTCTGGATACTGAGGAAGGCTAACGAGTACAAAGCTTGTGATGGCAGCCGTGACGTTCACCTCAGTCTGACGTGGAATCCTCGGAAGATCGGCGTGTTCGTGGACTACGATGGCGGTCTGGTCTCCTTTTACGATGTTGATGCTGCAGATCTGATGTTCTCCTTCACTGACTGTCAGTTCACTGAGAGACTGTTCCCGTTCTTCAACCCCGGCACCGCTGACCCTCTGATCATCTCTCCTGTCAATCACTCTGATTAGATCAGTTCTTTATTATCAATCACAACTTTATTATCACTGTACAAACACAAAACTTTATTATCACTGTACAAACA